TGGGGTGTCTACAAGCCCGCTTGCGAGTGGCATTTTCAAACCATTTTCGAAAACAAACATGAGTCGATTTGTTTCAAGTCTTGCGATTTAGCCTATACTTACTTGTGTGCGTCACATAGTAAAGTTAGATTAATAACCGGATAAGAACACATGAGGTTTATAAAATAACATATCATGATAGTAGAGGTCGATCTTTGATCGGGCAAGCAGAGGTGCTCATTTTAGGATCTTCCCCTCTCGTACCCAAATTCCCGAGCCGAGGCAACTTTGGTGATGACGGACACATGGCCTTTGGCACGAGTCAGTGTTTCCTAAATTTTCCAAAAATAAAATATTTAGATGGCGACTCTGTAATCTGGCAAATCAGTCCAGTTTTGGCATTATTTGATTCAAAATCTGATTTTTCAAAATGATTTGCCGGATTGGACTCTTTGGTGTTTATCAGTCTCACATTGCACTTTGTGAGATTAGATTCAGAACCGTGACAGGAGTCCGAACTGTAGGACCAATTCGGGCCTCTCCGAAAGGGGGGCGCGCGAAGAAAGTCGAGGCTACAAGCATCATGTAGTCTCTTAGCTTTATTCACTTTTTTTTTGCCTTTCCTTGCATGTTTTCTTTATATTGTTAAAAACATGTTTAGGCTCCATTTAATCATGTAATAAGCACACATATGACCCGATTTAAGCATCATGTATATTAGTTTGCATTGTTTTACGTGTTTTTTTTTTTTTTGGCGCATTAAATCATGTTGCAACCCTTAAATCAAGCGTAGGCTGCATTTTATATGTATTAGTTGCATATTAGGTCATATTTAATTTATGTACTGTAAGAAAGGCGCATAAGTGGGCATCCGGGTAACTTTTCTCCATCTCTATAGCATGTACTTGCTATTTACATTGTTTTTTTGATAAAGCAAGTTTCTATACTTTTCCATGCACAATTATTCATTTTTTATGTTTTATGAATATTACTTATTTTAAGTTGGGTTTATAGCCATGAATTGATAAAATCCACTTTTTAGTAAAAAATTACCTATTTTTTTTTATAAAAATATGACTTTATTCCTTTAATCTAGAATAAATGATATTCATTTTATTCAAATTATCTAGTTTTAGGATAGTAAAGGTTTTAGGCTTAAAATAATTTATATGAATAATTAACCACTAAAATCATAAAATTGAGAATTAGTAGAGGCCAATTTTCGGATTGGACAAAAATGAATGCTTTCATTCAATGACTTTTTCCTTTTATACCTTAATTCCTGAACCTGTAATTTCTGATTATGACGGATTAGGTCCTTAGCTTAGTTTTTATTACTATTAAAGATTTTTTAACTTCCCATTAAAAATTAAGTAACATTCTATATTGATTAAAGCAAATTGGCACAATACTTGGATAAAAACGTGCCTAATACCCAAAACAAAGTGCCGCGTCCATAGGAAGGGCCTGCTTTTGATGTTCAAACGGTGAAAGCAAATATCCTGACCTGTGGTTGTTTTCATGCCTAACAGAGTACACACACAGTGCCTTCATGAGTCCCAAGATTGTAACGCATCAAAACAAAATAACAAAACAGCTGCACGTTGAATGGCTGGAAGTTTGTTCTGTTGGTGTCTCAACCATGAATAAGGTGTAACTACCAGCCAACAAAATTAACTGCAAATCACCTTCCTTGAGTTCATAATGAATCATTGAATATTTGAAGAATCAAACAGCTCGAAATTTAAGGTACCTAATTACCTAAAACTCACTGCTCCTGATGATTAATAATTTCGTCATACATATTGAATCCGTAAAAAATAACCCATGTATCAAACATGAAGCATGTCTGAAGGAGTTTTAGCTGCCAATAATTACCTTCAGAAGACTTAAAGTACTTCCTTTTATTTTAACATAAGTGGATCTTTTAGTGTCAATAATTACTTTCACAAGGCTCAGTATTTTCTTCCATTTAAGTAATTCTCCAAAATAGAAGAAATATTCCTCAGTTCTATTTATCTTAATTTCTGGGTGGCTTTTTTGGGGAGTTAGTTTTATAGAATTTGCCTCATAAGTTTCTTGTTAAGCTTAAAAAAAAAAGCCTAACCACAGGGGTAACCTCTCGGGGCTGGACCTGCACTGCCATGTGCTTTTATCTCTCAGACTTCATATTTTTTGTTTTGACTACAAACTATGGTATATTCTTGGGTTGTAGGGTGAGAAAAAAGGAATCTTTGTTTGTAAAAAATGCTTTGTTCCTTATGTCCTCCCCCTTTTCAACAATTTCTTGAGATGGTGACCAATATGAATTTTGATAAAGAACCCAATTACACAAAGCTTATTTCATTCAAGACAGCATAAATTCCAGTGCGTCATTGCGACCCATCAGAATAGATGGAGACTTGAAGGTTGTTGGTTGTAGATTTATGTCAATTGAGCAATCGTCTAAAGTTTGTGTGTTGTTGTTTCTAAATATTTGTTGTTAAACACGCCATGTATTATAGGTGGGTCAAAAAAGGGGGAGCTTGCTTGTGGATTTGGAAGATGGTGCGCAGCCTCGCAAAAAAGTTCAATTAGGTACTCCAGCTACTCGGTGGATCTCAATCTATAGTTCCAGGTCACCGATGAAACGGGGGTAAAGCTGGGCAAAACATCTTTCTTTTCTTTAATTTTTTGCTATAGAAAATTTTCTTCATCTCTTACGAATTTAACGTAGCTTTTAATAGTCAAACCATGAGTCATTACGGGTAACCATGTTCCTCTCCATTTGAAGAGGAATCTTTGTTTGTAAAAAATGCTTTGTTCCTTTTGTCCTCCCCCTTTTCAACAATTTCTTGAGATGGTGACCAATATGAATTTTGATAAAGAACCCAATTACACAAAGCTTATTTCATTCAAGGCAGCATAAATTCCAGTGCGTCATTGCCACCCATCAGAATAGATGGAGACTTGAAGGTTGTTGGTTGTAGATTTATGTCAATTGAGCAATCGTCTAAAGTTTGTGTGTTGTTGTTTCTAAATATTTGTTGTTAAACACGCCATGTATTATAGGTGGGTCAAAAAAGGGGGAGCTTGCTTGTGGATTTGGAAGATGGTGCGCAGCCTCGCAAAAAAGTTCAATTAGGTACTCCAGCTACTCGGTGGATCTCAATCTATAGTTCCAGGTCACCGATGAAACGGGGGTAAAGCTGGGCAAAACATCTTTCTTTTCTTTAATTTTTTGCTATAGAAAATTTTCTTCATCTCTTACGAATTTAACGTAGCTTTTAATAGTCAAACCATGAGTCATTACGGGTAACCATGTTCCTCTCCATTTGAAGAAGCACTTTCTTTGTCATGTATGGATTCTCATAGGCTTGGAAAGTTTATCTTAGCAAGTGTGGTTAATTTTCCAAGCTAAACTACCTTTGATTAGAATTGTCATTTATTTCTGAAAGAATACTCAAGTAGGGAGTCAATAAACATGTGTTGCAATGTATTCGAGACTCAACCAGCATGCAGAGAAAGGAAAGGAAGATGGTTTGTACATTAGCTGCATAGCTTGTTCAGGAAATCTGTGGGTAGTTATTATGGATGCAAGGACAGGTTTTACATCCAAAGTTTTCTTGCACAAGGTATGCGTTATAGTCCTCACCATGAGTTCTAAAAATTCATTAATCAAATTATCCGTTGCCTCTTTAAGTCTATTATTTCTAAATTCTTCATCAGGAGTGGATTTTGGAGCAGTGGGACGAGAATTATGACATCACTTCACTTGCTGGTGCATCCAATGGCAGTGCCTTGGTGGTTTATGTCCAAGGGTGAGTGAAAAAATTCTCTTTGGTATTCACATTTTGACGTACCTCAATTTTTTTATGATAATAAAATCCAGTATGAGAAATTTCAGAAGTGTGAATGGTGAACTTGCACATTTTAACAATGTTATTTCATGATAATCTACTTCCTAAAAGAAAATTAGTCTCATATCTAGAGATGCCTCAACACATTTTGATAAATTAATTTATGCATGATGCCATGTTGCAAGCATGTGTGGTATATCTTGTGTTTTCTTTGTTTAACAAATGATTGTTCTTTATATTCTAGATTTACGTTATTCAGGAGTCATTAAGTCACTATTACGATATTACTCCTAAGTAATAAACAGATTTAAACACTTAATTTTATTATTATTATTTTATTTTATTTGTGATTGAGAATGCATTGTTAATTTTATGGACAACAGTGTACCTATTATTTTTTCTTTGAGATACTCACCCCTAAATTACTTGTCAAGATATTCACATTTTTATAAAATCATATTTGTACCCACGCAAATTATTAATGTTATTTTTCAATTAACTGCAAGGAAAACTCGAAAGTTGATTTGTTTTCAGTTTAGCTTCATCATTGGTGCTAGAGAGAAGGAAAATCCTTTGAACCGGCTAACCCACGAAGTTATATTTTAAGACAATAAAGATTTAAGTTGTTTGTTGGTTCATAATTTCATATCAAATGTGTTTATGATTGATAGAATGGGGGGGGAGGGGGGGAGAAAAGTGTAAGTGTATTTTTGTGTTGGAGATTTTCTCAAAAAAAAAATTATCTATTTGTCTTCTTGTATTATTTTTATCAACGATAATGCAACCCCCACATGCAACTAATATATAGAAATAATCTTTATATGTAAAGAAATTATTCCTCATTGAACAATTTTACACAAGCATATTTCCAGCTTTGCCTGACTATATGTTAATAACACAATGTTTAAGACAAAAAAAACAAAAAACAAAAAAACCTCTACCCAAAACCTAATTTCTGTTACAAGTAATTTATACAAGAAGTCCGGCTCAGGACAACAGGGGGTGTGCCTGACCCTAAAAACTAACTAGAATCAAATGTCATCACCATCATCTTGATGATCATCAGAACCAGGCCTTCCATCTCTGACCATCTTGTTGCCATCTGAACCTTCAACTACTCTACCTTCTCCAATATGATCATAGTGCTGTTTTCTCTGTTGCTATATAGAAATAATCTTCATATGTAAAGAAATTATTCCTCATTGAACAATTTTACACAAGCATATTTCCAGCTTTGCCTGATTATATGTTAATAACACAATGTTTAAGCAAAAAAAAACAAAAAAAAAAAGCCTCTACCCAAAACCTAATTTCTGTTACAACCAGAAACCAACCTCTATTCCATCTGGCTAGTCATTTATACAAGAAGTCCGGCTCAGGACAACAGGGGGTGTGCCTGACCCTAAAAACTAACTAGAATCAAATGTCATCACCATCATCTTGATGATCATCAGAACCAGGCCTTCCATCTCTGACCATCTTGTTGCCATCTGAACCTTCAACTACTCTACCTTCTCCAATATGATCATAGTGCTGTTTTCTCTGTTGCTCATCATCCATTGATTGCCCTTGCAAGAACCGATGCTCTCCATCTGCTTCAAAGTGGATAGAAACATAAACGAGAAAAGCTTCGTTATCATACTCATGAGCTTAAAGCAAACCTCTTCTTGTGTTCTAGAAATGGAAAATGATATGAGAACACCAATGGAATACATTATCATTGTTGTATGATGTTGTCATTCCGTACCAAAAATGTCGAACATAAAGTTCTAAGCATAAAATGTGAACAATTCCATACACTCTTGAACCCATTGTTAGTGGCAAAAAATTCAAAAAAAATTGGTGGGGCAAATAATCAAGGCAACCATTGGGAGCTCATTCTCTCAAATTTTGAAAGAACTACGAATAATTTATTAGACAAAAAAATTTACAGAGCCATAACAGATTACATCTAAATATCCAAAGAAACATGAGATGCAAGATGCAGTAGAAGAGAGGGCATCTTTGTTTAGTTTTTATGTAGTCATATAGTATGGGTATATTTAGTCATTTATTACCACTCTCACCGTCAGAAGCATCTTCAAGCCTCGCAATTGCATCAACAAGGGCTTGTTCATGCTCCTGCATTTGAAAGGAAATGTCAGAATTTGCTACAAGAGGTGAAAATTTTATTGCCAGATACTAGATTGTTCTTACTTTAAGCACATTCTTTGCTTTCTCAACCTTCAAAGGATCTGGATGGGTTGCACTGAAAACTTTCTCCACCTATAGAAGAAAATCACATCAGAGTAGAATGAGAAGAAAAAACAATGTTATTATATTTGCAGTGGGACGCAAAATCTTCAAGTTGCATCCATACCTCCTTAATTAGAGTATCGGTATGAAGTATTTCAATATCACCCAAAGGCTTCTTTCCAATGCCATTTTGTGATAAAGGAAAATCTTTCTTGGGCAGACCTTTTGCTGTCCCTCTACCTCTTCCAGCAACAGCAACAGCTCCACCACGGGCCATAGACTTCTTAAATCCACGGCCAGGTCCACTGCGGCCACCTCTACGAGATATCCCAGGATCTTCACCTTCCCACTGGATGTCTTCTGGTGATATCTAATGTCAATAGATGATAATACAATTAAGGCACAAGGACAATGTTTTGAAAGCAAGTCCCATAACTACAAGAGAGTGAAAAATCTGGCAGCTCTAGTTTCCTTTAATTGTTCTCGTGTTCGTAAAAAAGTTCATGTTTTCATCTATGCAATTAATAACTCCTTTTCAACCAAGTGTCTGTGTGTGAGAGAGAGAGAAAGAATTAAACAATTTCAAAACTGAAAAGTCCACATAACCTCAAAATCAATCTTAAATGAGAATCCTTGGGAATGGCCCAAGCAATAACACAATCCCTTAGAGAAAGGAGCTGCAACATTTTAGAGCTAAAATTGTAGTTTAAATAACCACCCTTTGGGCAAACCCAAGCAATGTTTAATCCATTGTTGTCACGGCATTAGGGGTGTTTATTTGGGCTTTTTTGAGCCAACTTATAGCTTCTAACTTTCGGAAAACTATTTTAGACTGTTTGGTTAAACTTATTTCAAACAGTTTCTGATTCTAACAACTTATTTTAACTCAAAAAAACTGATTCTGAGAAACTACTCACCCCTTCCTTCTGATTATCAGCTTCTGTTATGGACATATTAATTTACAGTTATATTCTTAGATTTTTTTATTATTATTTTTTTAAAAATAGAAAAAGACCCAAATGGGCTATAGATTATTATTATTATTTTTTATGAGAAATGTAGACTAGTAGTAAGTAACAAAAAATAAAAATTAGGCCAAGTTTGGGAAGACTAAATAAGTGCACTTTTTGTCTTTTTAGACTAAAAAGTTGAGGTTGAAAATATGAATGTTTGGGTTAACTTTTTTACTTTTTATGGAAAAATGTGTAATAAAAAATTGTAAAAATTGATTTGTAGGAGAAAATTAGAATTGGGAGTTGTGCAGCCGTAATTGTTGACTTTTGGTGAATAGTGATAACTTTTTAACTTTTTGAGTAACTTTTTGGCTTTTTGGCTTTTTGGGGTGTTCCCAAACTTGGCCTTAATTGAAAAAGTTATTTCACAACTTATTTAACAAAGGCCCCGTTTGGTAGAACTATGAAAAAGTGATTATGGATTATAACTTAACAGATTATAACTTATAGCTGTGAACATAAGCTGTTAACATGTTTGGTATGGCTATGAGATTATGGATTTAAGCAGCAAAATAGTGTTTGGTTGATAAACTGTAAAATAACTTTTTGTTGTGTAATTGTGTTTTTTGCCCTTATATGATATAAAAATGATTATTTCGCCATTTTTTTCAGTTTTAATTTTAAAAAAATTATTTCATCAATAAAAGTTAATATAATTAGTATTACAAAAATTATTATTTTCATTAATAGTATCAATTAGTATAAAATTATTTCATTTTTTCATTATAAATTAATTAGTGTCAATTAATAGCTTAATTAGAATCAATTAATACTAAAATTATTAATTAGTATCAATTAATATAAAATTTATTTCCTTAATGGCTAAAATGCTTAATTATTATTTTTTTTTTATTAAAAAAACAATGAAAACCTCTAGGGAAAAAGAAAAAAAAAAAACACTGAAAACCCTAGCTCCGGCAGGCACAGCGGCGACGTGGCGGCGCTAGGGTTTGAGATCGCCTCGCACGGCCGATTGCGATGGGGGATGGGGGACGACAACGGAGGCACAGAGAGAGAGAGAGAGACCAACAACAATGTAAATCGCAACGATAGCTTGGTTTAGATCGCGATGGCGACGAACCAACACTGGAGAGAAAAGGAGGAGTAGGGATGGCAATTTGAAACCGGCCCAACGGGGACCCGATCCCCCGACCCCAAATGAGACGGTTTTTCCCCGAAAAAAATTCCCCACGGGCCGGGGATGGTATTAAAAAATAAACCCCCGATCATTTTCGGGCCGGGGACGGGGATAGATTTTCCGGCCCCAGCCCGAGTAATCCCCGTATATATCCCCGAATATATATCCCGCATATATATATATATATATATATATATGTTTAGGTTACTTTTTAAGACTCATTTCATTTGAGCCTCTCCCACTTTCACTCTTTTCTCTCGGCCTCTCTCTCCCTCTCTCTGCTGCGATGCTCACGGCGATGGCGTCGGCCGCTCCTCCTCTCTCCCTCATGGCGTCACTCCTCCCTCACGGCATCACAACGGCGACTCCTCCTCCTCTCTCTCAATGGCAGCAGCTCCTCTCTCTCTCTCACGGTATGTCCTCTCTCTCTCTTTCACGGTATCTCCTCTCTAGTTTCTCTCTCTCTCTCTCTCCCTCTCTCTCTCTCTCTCGTTTTGTTTTTTGATTTTGTTCTTCAAATCTGGAAGTTCTGGTCACCGGTGCCAAGATCCGAGTTGAGGAGTGAAGCAAACAAACCAAAGAAAATACAAAACAAAAAGTATATATGATCTGAAGAGACGAATCATGGCAAGGATTCCTTGGAGTGAAGCAAACAGATTTTGTTTACTAATCATGGCAAGGATTCCTTGGAGTGAAGCAAACAGATTTTGTTTGGGTTTAGTTCACTGAAGAGACGAATCTGGGTGTGTTGAATTTGTTATTGAATATATAATCTAAAGTATTAAATCTGTTGTTAAATTTGTTATTAATCTGAAGTATATATTAGATCTGGAAGTATTAAATATGATCTGAAGTATATATGATCTGAAGTATTATATATGATCTGAAGCTCTTTTTTTTTTTTTTATTGAATATATGATCTGAAGTATTATATATCAGATCTGGAAGTATTAAATATGATCTGAAGTATATATGATCTGGAAGTATTAAATCTGTTGTTGTTAAATCTGTCATTGAATATATGATCTTAAGTTTTTTTTTTTTGGCCAGGGACTCTTCGGGGTCGGGGAAACCCGATCCCCGTTAGGGGACGGGGGCGGGGGTAGTGACAGGTTCCCCGTCGGGGATCGGGGCCGGGGACGGGAGAATTTTCACCGTCGGGGATCGGGGACAGGGAGGGTGACCCCCGGCCCCGCCCCGCCCCGCCCCGCTGCCATTCCTAAGGAGGAGGCAGGCAATGGCGATCGTGGTTAGGTTTTTAGATCGCGATCATGTCGTCGATGGTTGTGGTGACGGGAGGCGGCGACAGAGCAAATCGTGCCCTAGCCTCTAGTTCGTGAGAGAGAGAGAGCTCTGGTTTGTTTGCCGAAAATCTCCTACCGGAAATCGCCTCTCCTCTCTCTCTCTCAAGTGAACAATGTTTGAGAATATGGGGTTTATATAGTTGGGTTTTTTGGTAATAGTTGAGATTGACGAGGGGCATTTAAGTAATTTTACCCCTCAATTTTTAGCTCTCCGCTTAAGCTGAATCCGAAAAGCACCTCTTCTGCCACTCAACCAAGAATCACTTTTTTAGCTTAATTTAAGCTACAAAAAGTGATTTTAAACTCTACCAAACAAACCAAAATAGCTCAAAATAATCTAAAAGCTGAGTTGAGCTAAAATTAAGCTCTACCAAACACTACTCAGCAACTTAAATCTATAATCCAACAGCTACACCAAACAGATTAACAGTTTCTGATTAAAGTTGTAATCTATAATTTGTTAAGCTATAATCTATAATCTGTTTTGACAGCTACACCAAACAAGGCCATTGTAACACACATCAGAAAAGAGATGGAATAATGGTACTATAACACACATCAGAAAATAGATGGAACTGGTAAAGTCTATTTCAAATCTCATCTCCATAATCTTCCATGGAGCTGTTTACCACAAACCAAGAGGCTATCAAAATTCATAGTAAAAATAGTTAGATTTGTTAAAATCGTTCAGGATATCTAGTAACTATTTCCCTTCTCACCCACTATTGAAAGTCCAGGTATGGAAGAGCATTCCCGTACCATACACATCAAAGCCGACACAAACACATCATAGAAATTTGTATTTTTTTCCCTTCCCTCAAAGCTCTAGGGCCTGATGGTATGTCTACCCTATTCTTTAAGACATTGGCATTCTGTTGGAGTGGGGTGGTTGCAATGGTCAGGTATTTTTTCATCAACAAAACCTCCTAAGAGCCTCAACACATTTTCATTGCTTTGATCCCCAAATCTTCATAATGATTAGGCTGTGTTATGTGGCATACGAAGTTATTACCAGGTTACATCTCAACGCTCCAAACCAAGCTGCCTATGTGCCTAACAGGAACATTAATGAGAATACGGTTCAAGAGTTGATGCACCCACTGAAGAGGAAAAAGGGTAAAGGTACTCTCATGGCCATCAAAGTGAACATGTCTAAAGCCGATGACAGAATCGAATGGCCTTTTATCATAGAAGTGTTGAATGCCCCAGAGAATTTTTTCATTGGATTCAACAACGTATTTTGATTGGTTGGGTTCAACAATGTATTTTGACAACATCTTTATCTGTGTTGGTCAAAGGGGGTCTAATGCATAATATAAGAAGCTCAAGGAAGGTTAAATTCAAAGAAGCGATGATATTTGGACATTGACATGATTTCAAAGAGAAACTAGTAGGAATCATATATAATTATATTTCTCGTATTATTAAAGTCCTCTTTCATGATTATTTTATATTTTCTGCCATAGGTTGTAAGGGTCGCCCATGGATCGTCTTGTTGGTCAAATTATTTAATTGCGTTTTATTTATATTTGTTATTTGGTCTTAAATTGATTTTGGAAGTCAAAGTTATTATACTATTCTTCTTTTTTTTGTTCTAGTTGGTTTAGAAAGTCGCTAAAGTCTATGTCACACTATGTTACATGGACTCGGGTGCGGGTGTGTATATCTAAGGATCGGACAGATAACATCTCTAAATAAAGGATACGTGGACTCGACTAACATGTACCCAAAAATTAGATACGAGAACGTGGATAAAGCAAAAAATATTAAAAGAAATAGCAGAGGTCTAATCCTACTATGCTATTTTCCTTTTTTATACTATTTTTTAGGTGCTAAATCTGAATTATTATTTTTTTTATTTTGCTGCAGAATTTTGGTTTGGACAGGCCGAAATTAGTTAGATTAGGAGTTTAAT